TGGAGAAACAGAGCTTACTGTATGTTCCATATGCTCCTGGTTTGAAAAAGCATAACTATAGGACTATACTGAGGCAGAAAAGGAGGTGCAGAGACGGTGCTTCAGCTTAGAAAGTTGTCTGAAGTACTTACTGAGACACAGACTAACCAGGCAAACAAAGGGTGTTCTAACACGTGCACACATACACTAATTTTCTTGCTCCTTAATTTCCTATGTCTGAGCTGCATGATAGGCCAGGTGTGCTGTCCTTTCTCCTTCCCCCTCCCCACTCCCTGCCCGCTCTGGCCCTGATACTTAATTTTATCACATGTCTTTAGGTTATATGTGCTTATTGGAATTGTTTGCTATCACCACTGTATATAAGTTAATAGGGAAAAAGAATACTTTTAGGGCATGGTGCACCTAACCTATTTCAAACATTCATGATAAGTCCTCCTGTGCCTAGGGAGTCTCCCTGGCTCATTACTGATTTGAGGAACGGCCTAAACACCGTGTTAACATGGCATCTTTGCAAATGTCCAAGCGGTCTGTGGGAACTGCATCCTTTGGGTAGCCGTTTTCTGAATACAAGTTGCAACAAGTAACCCTGCTCCCATGCTATGGGACAGCTTGAAGGGGCTTCAGGTCAGGGCAGAAAAGGATAGGAGATGAGTGAAAATGAGAATATCCAAAAATTAAAGGCTATTATCATGAGAAAAATTCCTTGCCCCCCATGGTGTGGGAAAGGAGAGCTGAAGGACATCAATTAGACATAATTCTAGGTCATTAAATTGAGATGGCACCCATGCACAGAACTGTGGAAACCACTAAGATAAAAAGAGTCTATCAGTTAAGAAATATGTCTCAAACCAGTAAATTAAGCGTGGTTTCATGGGGATTTAAAACAGTTTCTCACAAAGTTGAGGTTTTTCATTCGTGTTTTCTTTTTTTTTTTTCCCCCGGTATGTTGAACTTTTTGGCCAACTGGCCTGACAAAGAATAAGCATAATACGGATCTTCATGTTTTACTACTACCTACAGACTTCAATTAAAATCAAGCTCACTTGTACTGGGTGCAGTTAATATCTATCTAAAGGTGCTCTCTTCATTAACCCCGCAGCTTCACTCTGGACAATCTGGGAAGACGCTGAATGCCCTTAAGACTGCACCCAGCTTCCCTTCTGGAGAAAACCAAGATGCAACAAAATACAACTTCATCTCTCAGGGTTTTCTTCCTGCACAAAGGAACGCACTCTACCTCACCCAACAGGTACTTGATTTCTTTCAGTTAATTAAATACTCCATTAAAACAGATAATCCCCCCACCCCCTACTCAGAAGAAACAGAGATTTTCTTTCTTTCCCCACATATCCCTCTGAAGTTCACAAATATTAAGCAGTAAGTCGGACAGGGTTAGGAGCTGTGCTAAATGTGACAGTCTTGCAAACCTCAGAAGTGGCGATTTCGCACTTGCTGCCCTTTGCAATAGGACTTCTGGGGGCGTAGGTCTTCAGTGTGATGTTCTTGAGGAATCTGGTTCAATACCAAAGCTGATAGACTGTAAAGCTAGGTTATCATGTCCTGGTACATCGGTCTTTCCTCTTACAGCTTCTATAGTTTGGGCTCCTGAACACCTTTAGAAATTGGTGCATAAACTGAGGTTGAATTTGGTCAGCAAAGTCAAGCCTCGCAGTTGTAGTTAACGAGCAGAACAAATGGTGTAACCTGTCCGTGTAGAGCATTTAGCTTGTTTATTTGTAGCTTGGATTAAGTCAAATGAAACAGCCAACCCTGGAGTTTACTGCTAATGTAGGAGGACATTAGTTTGTGAGTTCTGTCTTTTTTTTTCTAATATTAAAGGTTTTTTTATAGGGGAAGGACTGTCATTTTGTGCTATACCTATATAGCCTGCATGTAGGCACTGAGCAAATAATATATGATAACAAGTGGCACTGACACAAGCTATTCTGGCAAAATGTAGCCAGTAGGAACCTAAGCTTAGCAGCTAGATTGTCAGCACTACACAGTACCAAATACAAATGAGGTGTTTCAGCTATGGTTCTGATTCAGCTTCTCATAGGAACCGGCTCTGGGGGAGAAAAAAGTATAACTGTGTAATTTAACTCAAAAAAATCCCAGCTGTTTCAAAAGTGGAAGCTTAGCTCATCCTGTAGAGAAATCTAGCATTCACTTCAGTCCGATTAAGAACGATTCAGATAATTACTGAAAAGGGTCTTCCAGGTCTACATGGAAAGAATCCTATTTTCAAAAGTCTTCAGCATCTGCCAACTGCTATAAATTTGACTGAAAACTGTCAAATACTTGACAACTTTGAAAATCCAGTTACTTCCTATACAAAATGTGAATGCTGGAATCTAACAGTCTTTTGAAATGTATGGCCAAGGAATCTGAGCGTGTCTGTATAAAAATATATATAATTATTCATGGATTTTGAGTTACCCAGGGCTAAATGGAAATCAGAAATTGCTGAGGCATAAGTATCAATGTAATGTAAATACATTCACCATTTCATCCTGATAAATACTGGATTATAGACTTCAGAAACACAGACTGACAATTATTGGAAATCCTGTGGTCATCTCAAGTATGTCATCTCAAGTATACAATATTTCAGTTAAAGTAAAACCATAAAATCCTTTTTCTTTTTTCAAAGTACCATCTAGCATATAATTTATTGGGATGAACTCTACAAATATGTGCATTATATCACGCTAGAAGAACTTGAGAACCACTTTTTTCTTGTTCCCAGGGTCATTCAGCTATTGGTAATGTACTACAGACATAATGATAGAATCAGTTTACAGTTGCGAGTTCTGCCAAATATCTCACAATTATATTTTGCAAGCAACACTGCCTCTGTTTCACAGAGATAACAGTGTGGTGTTTTGTTTATGTGGTAACAAAGAAAAATACTGTTTTAGGGTTGTGACAGAATTTCAAAAAGTTTTTGTGGTATTCTAAACTTCTGAGACACTTAATAGTTACCACTCCATTAAATACAGAGTGGCATGGGCTTTGAAAGCGTCCCTCAAAAACCAAAAAAGAATCATAGAATTATGAAGGTTGAAAAATACATGCACCTACCATGAATACTGCCCAATAAGCTATGTCTCTAAGTGCTACATCTTCCCTTTCCTTAAACACCTCCAGGGATGGTGACTCCACCACTTCCCTGCGCAGCCTCTTCCGATGCCAAAGAAGGAAAGGGTCTGTTCAATTAAACCAAATGTGCCCTCTTTACATCTTCAGCATTTATCCAGACATACATATCAGCTGATATCTATATGCAAACCATACGTTTTAATTGTGTCAGACATACAGATGAGTTGCTGTAAAGTCTGCTCACCTGGATTCAGGATTGTAGGACTGCTTTTAGGATGTAATTTGAAACCCATGGCATGTAAATCGAAACACACACCATCAAACTTCAGTCACCTAGTAGTCTGAGGAAAAAAAACACAGAATTGTGGAATATTCAAGTTGGGAGGAGCCCATAAGGATCATCAAGTCCAACTCCTAACTCCACACAGGACCAAAGCAAACTAATAAACACTTTACAATGTCTTGACACTGACCACTGAGGTGGTTTGGGGAAGCTCCCTGCAAGAGAAGAGCACCAGCAGCAGTCCTGCTCCTTCTGGAGCCTGCATTTGTGTGACCGATTACTTTGTCAGGACTTTTGGGGTAGAGGAACAGGGATACAATAGGAAGGCTAGCAGTAACCATCTCAGGTGTTCAGGAGAAGCATATTTTGTGGGAAAGGACAAGGAATGTGGGTGCTTTGATTTGAGCTTGGGATGAGAGCCAGCGGTGTTGTTGTACAGAGCAGAGCTGTGGCAGTAGACATGGCAGTAGAAGTCATGTTCACTGTCCTAAGGCCAGGCAGAGTGTGGATTAGAAGAGAGGAGCTTGCAGGTTTTTCACTGTGAAAAAGGCATGTTCCTACTCTTCATCCTTTGATGTTTTCCAGCAGATAAAAAACACTGCTTATAGAAGAGACAGAAAAACCCCTGAATGTTTACCATGACTATCAGTGATAGTGAAAACTGGAATGGCCAGCAGATTGAATTAGAAAGAACAGAGGCAACTGCACATAGGGCTGACTTGCCTCTTCCCCTTCTGTGAAACCTCAGCTAGGTTCCAGTAAGGGAAAGGAGCTAGAAATGAAGGAATGTCAGGGTTCATACAATCCTGAGATTGTGGAAGAGGTTAATTGGGAAGAACAGAAAGAGGGAGAGGGTGCAAACTCCTCTGATTTTTCTGAAAAGCTGGAAGGAGGTGACACTCAGCCTTGGTTGAAGTTTGGACCAGGCTGAGACCAAAAGGGATGGTAATGAATGCAAGTAAAACAAGCAAGTTATAGAGGAGGTGGCACCTTCATTTGTCATGGTGGCTCTTCTGAGAGCTCTTACATCTGCCTTGTTACTACAGACATGCTAACGCAAACACCATGCCATCTTTCAGGGGTATACTGAAATTTGTTAGAAAAGCAGGATCCCAAGGTCTCCCAAGGGCAGATCCCGGCTATGTTTGAGTAGGAGAGACTGCAGCTGCTAAGTAAAGCTAAACTGACCTTCATGCTGCCATCTAGTGTTCCCTTGCACATAGAAACAACGTTCCCCAAAGAAATACTTTAAATCTCCATTAATGCTCCTCTATTCAGAAGAAATGTAATTTATTCTTGCTGGAAAAGAAGGCTGGACAACACAGAAGCTGAATAGGAGGGAACAGGGAAGACACATATGAAGGACAGTGTTAAGGCAGAATGTTAGGGAGATACCATTTTTTTAATTTGTTTCACCCAGCAATAGAGACATCTCCTAGGCAAGATTCAGAACCAGATTCTGTCTCCATTTATTTTTCACTCTTCGAAATTCATATGACTGCTTGCAAGGTGCAGTGGTATACAGCAGCAAGAGACCAGCATGAGAAACTTGGCAGGTTCTTCTAGACTGTCCTTGCTACTGCCATAAAAGACAAATGGTGTGTTTACTTCACAGGCATCAGATGCTGATTTTCCTTTCAAGTACACAGAAGGGCTAACAAAAAGTAACAAATGCTGTGGTGGGAATAAGCAAAGGATCTGCCTTGAAGAGCCACAGTAGGATGCTTTTCCAACACCTGCACATCCTAGCTTCATGCTGGAACTGTAAAACCCCGGATAACCCTATTAATAATCATGGGATGATTTACACAATTACAGCAGGGACAGCATTTTTTTTCTCCACACCTTTCTTGAAGGTGCTTTGAATCGAAGTCCAAAATACACATGAAGTATCCAAAGTCACTGCTCTGTTTTGGAGCTTTAATTTCTGAAAATGTGAATAGGAAAGCTGCCAGGAAGAGCTCTGCTGGCTAGAACTGCACAGCTGGAAAATGGCAAAATCAGCTAAATTAAGAAAATAGACTGCCCACTGGGAAAGAAAAACCATAATGACCAGCTTTGAAAGAACTCCTGCTAGCATTATAAGAAATCAGATAGGAATTTTGTCATTTGCAGGACAGTCTTCTCATTTACAATGAAATTTTATAGCAAAAGAACACAAGCAGTTGGACATAAGTAAAAAACCTGTTTTCTCAGTTCAGTTATAAATTGTTTAGATGAAGTGGACTATCATTGTGACAAGGAACAGAAACAAACTCTTCAGCAGAAAGGACAGTGTACTTCTCTGCCTGCAACTCACCTCTCAAGTAAAGACAAGAAGAAAGCTGTCCCAGGCCCCTAGGCCTTCCAAAGGCCTACTCCATAGTATAGAAATTCTACCATTCACTAATGGTAGAATCCACATCTCATTCACAGTATTCCCATTGTGTTTTTTTTTTCCACCAAGAGCACAATTAAATCCCAATCTCATCAAACAGGGCCTACTGCAGAATTAAGGCATCATTATTCTCTTTCTCCAGCCGTTGGTACCTGTTACAGCCTGTAACATCCATATTGGTACCAGGAGCTTTCTCCTCATCTCACTGAACAAAGCAGCAGCCTTATTTTGAATTCAGGTCTGACAGAGTTATTTACTCTGAATGTAAGGCTTTTATTTTCCAACACACAATTTGCTGTGGAAGGAAGTCACGTTCTCTTCCCATTCCCTGTTCTTTCTCCTTCCATCCATCCATGACGTTCAGTGAACACAAAAGTGAGTGCAAAAGGGATGAAATGAATATACATAAAAGATACACTTAGCCCTCTTCCAAAGAGCTCACGCTTCCTGTGGATTAAAAAAGAGCGAGAGGACTCCTGGACCCTCATCTCCAAAGAACCTTACTGAGAATACTGTAGGGGCAAATGTTTCAAAACCAAAACCATGCATGTTTAAGCTGTCTCTGTATCATTTGCTCGCCTACAAACTAGCAACATGCTTGTTTAGTGGGATACAGGGACCACAGAGCAGTGGCTGCACGGCTCCAAAAGCAGCCCATGGAATATCCCATCCAGCAGGGAGGCTGGGCACGGTGGTTGGGAAGGTGGCATCAGGGCTCACCAAAACCTGAAGAGAACTGTACTCATTTTTGAATGCCCACGATTTGTGCGTATGACATGGGCTAAAGCCACTGGAATCAGCACAGAGTTTGAGGGGCATGCTACAGTCTCTGCTCCCCAAACTAATTGGCAGGTGACCTCTGCCAATTAGTTTAAGTAGGACTGTATTTCTTTCTTTTTTTTTTTTTTTTTTTAACTCCTCTGTACAAAAACATTCTGTGTTTGAAACGGGAGTTTTTATATGAATGTTGCAAAAGAAAAATTCTGCTTCTTGAGAAATTTTCCCCATTCTCAAAACTTAATTTCTCCCTCTCCTCTTCTTGCAGTGATAGATTAAACATGCCAATGGGAAAGGTGCACAGCTTCAGCATTGGGTAGATAATTTTTAATCAAAAGGTAAAATACAAAATCAGTTGTTTTTATCTTCTCAGTTGAAGGGACAGAGATTCTGCCCTTCAGGCAAGCTAAATAAATAAGAACATCAACTTCAGTCCACAGTTTGTCTCATGATTTGCTATAACATTTCCCTAGTACCAGGCATGGCTGCCTCCCGAATCAACAGAGTTAAAACTTTCTTGTAGGTGTCTAAGATCTCCTGAGCAGAAGGCCTTTCAGCTGGGTCCTTCTTCTTACATGCCGCATGAATGTCAAACAAGTGCAGTCGCACAATGTCACTGCCTTCAACGTGGCCCAAGAAAAAATTGAAGACATCCGGGATTTTCCAGATGTCTGTTTTTTCATCGTATGGGGGCATAAGGTCATCATCAAATGGCACATCCTCTCCATAGGGCCAACGCTGCTCAGGAGCTACAAACTCTCCCCAGAGCTCCCGATGACCACACTTCACCAGCCTGCCGGCACTCTTGTTCACGAGAGGCAAAGCGTCCAAATCATTCACCAGGATGTGAAAGTCACTTGTTAGAAGATACTGAGAGAGCACCTTGTCCAGGTCGTTTGAATCGCACATCACTAAGGTGCCCAGAGGGCTGCTGTGCAGGTATCGAATTATGCTGACATAGTCTATAGCAAGCATCAGCCTTCTTTGCCAAGTGTTCATGCTCTTGTACTTGGGGATGTGCAGAGTTTCATTCAAACCCCTCAGGGAGCCCAGAGGATGGTACTCAGTGAGGATTGTGAACTGCTTCTCGCAGTAGCCAAGCAGTCGGACAACGTGCTTGCTCTGTAGTGCCTTCAGCATCTTCAGTCCGTGGAGAAAGTCCTCCTTCAGCTCAGGTTTGGTGAGCTGTGAAATGACCACTTTGTTTTCCTTCCACTCAGAAAGAAAGACCTGAGGACAGAGAAGAGATGTATAAGACATGTGGAGAGCCTTCCTCCGCTGACTGTTACCATGTGGCATCCAAGTGAATGCTCAGTCACAGCCGCAAACTACAGTCACCCAGTGTGGTCAGTCCTATGCTGGTGCGTGACCGTACAATGTCGTGTCAGCAGCAAAGCCTCTGGGCTTTGCTGTACCTGCTGCACGTACGTGTCACAGCAAGCCCTTCCTGATTTTGTAATTACAGCACGGGGTGGCTCACGATTTCCTAAGCTTTCATTGGAATGGATGAAGCAAAGGATGGAATGACTTCGTAGCACCCAGCCAGACTCGCTGTGCTCAGTTGCACCATGCGAAGCGCTCCACCCATCCCTGTGGTGCTGCGTGCACAGCCTGGTGTTGTTTGGTGTGAGGTACCAACTGGCCACGGTCACGTTTCTCCTGCCTGTTCCTACCTTACCTTACTTGTAGCCAAAGGCTTTCAGCTGCTGTAAGGGCAGCTATAAAAGCAGCACGGGCAGCTAACAAAGAAAGCCCTCGCTCACTGATTCACTGGAGAATAGAAAGGATAACCAAACTCACCTTCTTCACAGCTCCTTCGCCAACACGTTTGAGTTTTCTGACTTCCCTATCGATGGCTTCACAGGAGAGCCAGGGGGAGCAGTTTTTCACCGGCCCTAGTCTGAAAGACCCATAAGGGCAGAGGCTGGGCTCGGCGTCGGCACGGCCCGAAGAGCCGTGCAGGCTGCCGAGGTACAGGTAGAGCAGGGCGTTCAGGAGCAGCACCGCCACCAGCAGCAGCACCGGCAGCAGCGAAGGCGCCTCCCTGGGAGGAAAGTCTCTTTTCACGAAATGCGCTTTCTTTTCCATCTCCCCTGTGAAAGACACGGGGGTGCCAGCTCCCTCTGCAGCGCAGGGTCCTAAGGGGCTGTTTCATGGCAGCCCGCACGACCGCCTCCCCGTGCTGCCCAGCCGCGCGGGACGTGCGGCGGGAGGCCAGGCTCCGAGCGCGGCGCGGTCCGACGCCCCCGACCGCCACGACTGGGCCGCGGCGCCGAGCGCGTTTTCAGAGCGGCGCCGCCCCGGGGCGGAGCGCGGCGGGACGATGGCGGCCGCGCTGGCGGCGGCCGTGGCGGCGGCGCTGGGCGCGCTGCTGCTGGCGCCGGGCCGCACGCAGTCGCGCGGAGAGGCCCTCGCTGCCGGGCCGCCGCCGCCGCTCAAGATGGACCAGGCCCTCCTGCTGGTCCGCAACGAGCTGCCCGCGCAGGGCCTCCGCTTGGCCGCCCGCTCCGCAGCCTGCCACCGGGTGAGCGCGCCGAGCCGCGCGGCGACTAGCCCCCGGCCTGCGGCCCGGTTCGCCTCACCCTCCGCTTCCTCCGCAGTGCTCCTACCAGCTTCTGGCCGTCGTCCCGCCGAGCGACGGGGGCCCGGGCGCGGCGGCCGTGGTGGACACCCAGCATCCGCTCAGCCTGCTGCTCAACGGCTCCCGGGCCGGCAGCGAGCTCTGCAAGTAGGTGCCACCGCCCTGGCTCTTCCTCTGTGCTACCGGGTTTTTGTTTCCCCCGCGCTGCGACTGCGATTTATCGCAGCCCTTCACCTCTTTCCTGACCATTGAGACCTGGAGTTCGCCACGCTGTGGTTACGCTGGGTGCGTCTGGGTGCGGGGCCGGCCCGTGGCGGGGCCTGGTCTCACTTGCATAGAGGCAGTGGTGCGAGGAGATGGGTGATGTGAGCTCAGGAAGGGTGATGCTCGCCCTTCGGCTCTCTGAGTGATGCCCTGTTATCTACATGGAGCAGCAAGTTCTGTCTCCCTTTTTCTTTGCAGGATTCAGTATCACTTTGGAGAGTTTGGCAATTACTCCCTCGTAGTAAAGACCCTAAGCACAAGTGCCAAAACCATTTCTTGTGACATAGTCATCAATGAAGGCCCCATCAACAGCTACCTCCGTACGTAATGCTCAGCTTTCCTCTTTCGTTCTGCAACATGCATGTCTCTCAATAAAGCCAGCTACCTAAAATGCCTCTGTAGCTACCTGTGTTGTGTTGAAATGTGCAATGGACATGCACGTCTTCTCTCTCAGTGTTTTGCCTGCTTATGTTTTACATCTCTGCCTGAAGGCCCTGGCCAGGATCAGGTCTTCACATTTTTGGAGCAGAAATTAGCCTCGTGAAAATCAGTGGGTATTTTATCCACAGGGAGATTTTATCATTGTTAGTTCCTCTTTCCCTCCATGTTTCTGAAAATACGCAGGACCCTTGTTCTTCCCTCTGTCCTGCTTCTCTCACAAAACAGGAAACAAACCATAGTGTTTGGATTTCTGTTTTGTTGTGCTTTTAATTTTAAACCTGCTGTCTTATGTTTTTGTTCATCTCCTTTCCTGGGCCTTCTTTAAGCTCTCATCTCTTCCATTCCTCTCCTTTGTATTAAGTTTTTCTTCAGTCCTTCCAATTCTCCAGCTATAAAGAAAAATCCTTCATACTTTCAAATTTATTGCTATCTCCCTGTCCTCTTCTCATTGAGGCTCTCTCTGAATCTCTATTTTTTTCATCAGAACATATGGCACATCAACTCCTTCTTCATTATTGCCTCAGTGCACATTTATTTTGCCCTTTTTTTATGCCAAGATGTGCAGGTGCTGATTGCTAGCTAGCTTTGGTTTTGTTTTTTTCTCTTTGTGGGACTCAGGCTGGGTATACATATTCTGTGGAGAAAGTGGCGTGATGGATGGTGGGTTGAGTTTGTTGTTGTGTCTGTATCACAAACCCCTGCCAATGAGCAGTTTTGTTGCGTAAGATACGGAGTTGTGTTCTTCTCTTCCCATGTAGCTATCCTCTTTGCTTTCCTGGTTTATTCGGGGATCCTTGCTATCCTGATTATCTGTCGCCTTGTTATGAAGTAAGTAAACAGTATGGTAACACCTCCTCATACATGAGATAGGGTCACCCATTTAAAAGTAGCGTGGTAGTGCTTTGGAGTCCCTGCTTGCAGGTAAGACCCTGCTGCCTGGCTGCCATGTACAGGTCAGGTTGTGCTAGCTGTCTGTGCAATGACAAATGCAGAGTGATGTGATTTCTCTTGAGGGATATCTTATAGCTTGCTAGCTCGTGTGCAGAGCAGTTGCTGGAGAGCAGCTGACATCAGCCGTAAGCTGATGCACTCTCTGCTTTGCCCTCCTGTGACTTGTTCCTGGGAACAAATCAGCAGTACAAGTCAGTGGGACCTAAGCATCTTTAACATCTGTGGTCTTATGTCATGTGTACTGAGCGATATCAGTCCCTGTCTGTGGACAGCCTGAGAGTAGAGGTCCCAGACTTGAGCTTATGGCAATGTCATTAGATAAATGGATGTAACTGGGGTCATAGGTACTGGTTGTATATCAGTATTACATACATGAACTGGAGAAACATGGATAGGGGCCATCCTGTTGATTTATACTGCTAAATAGTTGACATTAAGACGGAATTGGCTACGAAGCAGCCAATTTTTGTTTGTTTTGTCTTTTAAACTGTTACTGATTTTCAGAATTGGTCCAGTCAGAAACTGGGTTTACAAGAAACTGAACCCTAGGGAAACTGATCGTCTGATTAATTCTGTGAGTGACTGAAGTACCTTTCATTTGCATTTGGTGGTGGTGGTTTCACCTCAGAATAACGCATGCTATCTGGGCATCTGGGGGTTTATTTATTACTTGCCATCTTCTTGTGCCTGTTGCCTTTGCCAAATCTTGTATTGGTGTCAGACAGGCAGTTTTATGTCGATGGAGAGTGCTGGGCTGGGTTTCCAGGTGGGAGTTATGGATTCCTCGCAGAACTTTTGCAAGCTGGGAATATCTAGCTTTCTGCCTCCTTAGTTCCCTTGAAGGACATGCATCTGTGAAAACTGTCCCCATCTGACACAAGCAGTATAAGGGTGGGGTTGAAGTGCCAGCTTGTGTGTTTGCTTGCAGCACAATAGGAAATTTAATGGGAGCTAAGCTTAAATCAAGATTGCTATGACAGCCCTAGAGTTGTCATTTCTGTGGGCCATGTTTTATACTAGAATACAGATGGATTGTCACAGTCTGGGCTTCATATCTAGGAGGTCTGAACCTGCATGGAGTCAGAAGAGCTGGGAGCATAGCTCCGGGGCAATTCTTGAAGTTGCTTATCTCCAGTTATCCATGTTAAAGCAATGTTGCTGCCTTATGCTGTTACTGGAGCTGATCAGAGTGGTTTAGGGAACCCGTCTGGAAAGAAGCCATCCTGCTTTTAAAAATATTCATTTTCTGCTGGTTTAGCTCCCTGAATGGTCTCTCTGTGTGTCAGACAAGTGCTGATGGGATGAGACTGATCCCATTGATGAGAGTCAGCAGCTGGATCTGCTCAGCTCGATTATAATGCTGCCCTCACAGGGATGGCAAGTCTGTGGCTGATTTGGACTGAACCCAGCTCCCACAGATCTCAAACATAGGATTTTCTCATTGGCTTATTGTTTCCACTCTGATCAAAGGTGGAGTACAGAGCATCTGCGTTTTCCTGTCAAATACTATTGCCACACTACAGAGCCACTAGGAGGTTAGAAATAGCAAGTGGGGAAGCAAAAAGAAAAGGAAGATGGGGAGAACCAGGACAAACACGGTGTGCAAATTCATGCAGTTCCACAGCCAGCCACTGACTTGCTTTTCTTGTGTCTGATTTGTTCCTTCAGGAGCTGGGGTCCCCAAGCACCACAGACTCCATTAGCAGTGATCCTTCCCCACGTCTGTGGTGTGCAACCTCTCGGCAACGACTGCGTTCTCTGGACACGTTCCGAGGGTGAGCATAAGACCTTGCCCAAAAGCAGCTCTCCCAAGGGATGGGAGATTTGTCCAAAGACAGATTGACAGTGTATGGAAATATGTAGCAGTGGAACTGCAAAAGCTTTTAACTTGAACAATAATCAAAATTTTAATTATTACTGTTGAAGCATTGCCATAGATCTGGTTTGAGGAAATGTTAAGGTTCTGGTTCATGGTAGAAAAGAGCAACCTACATTCAGCATGAAAATGCAATGTGAAGGTGCTTACTTAAGTTCACTATCATGATCTTTGAAATACTGCTTCTTGTTCAGCAAATCTAGAAGTTTTGTATGTAATCTTTCTTTGAAAATAAACTACGTTACGTCTCACAGTTGGAAATGTTTTAATGGAATAAATGTTAACTGTGTTTGTACATATGTGTTTCATTGACATCTGGTACATTCTGTGTTTTTGTTGTTTCTTTTTAGCCTCTCTCTTATAATTATGGTGTTTGTTAATTACGGAGGAGGAAAATACTGGTTCTTCAAACATGAGAGTTGGAATGGTAAAGTACAATTGAGACACAGCTAATCTGCATTTTAAGTTCAATATCTAGATATGGTTACCTGCTGCATTGTCTAGTTGAAGGCTGGGATGCTGTGCTGGTTTGCATCAGTACAGTATCTAGCCCGTTAGGCTAATGGGAGAAGCAATGCATATGCAATGACTTCAAATCACAATCTGTTTGTAAGCTTCTTATTTTTGACATAGTATAATATTTTTAGCTTTTAAGAATCATGGTCATTAAAAAGAGTCTAGTACTATAGTCAAGCCTGTGGTGCTCGATGCTGTGCTGTGATGGTGGAGGGGTTCTGCAGTGTGTTGTCCCGGTGGAGAATAGCAAGGATTCCTGTCCTGAAATCTTTCCTGAGACACAGTTATGAACCTGTTTTTGAGGAATGGTAAAAGCAGTGAAACAAGATGATTGGATCTTTCTGTGTTTTGCTTATAACATTTTTTAGATTTTGGGGCATAAAATGACTGCAGACAGCCTGCAGTTCCTCTGGAAACTCATCAATAATGCTGTTAAAGTTTAGGGAAGTTTTGAGGAAAGTAATGTGTTCCTTCTTATTTCTTTTGTAGGATTAACAGTGGCAGACCTGGTTTTTCCATGGTAGGTCTTCCTGAAGAATAGTGTGTCAAGTGATGTTAAGGGTTGCTAGGGGAACATTGCATACTCTCTGCCTTTGTATGAAAATTGATTTGGAGGAGTGATTTTGTGTTAAACA